GAATTAGCGCTTCTTCCTCATGGAGTTGGCGTGGGAATGCAGAGCGCTTCCTGAGGGTTCCTGGGGAGGAAGGTGAGCCAAGGTCACCTTGAGACCACGTGTCAGCACGACCTGCCAAGCATGTTATATTGGAAATAGTTTTAGTATGATGTTAATAGGCTGTAGCACAAAGCGAGGAGGTAGCCTCTTCCCAGAAAGCTTTACTTGAATACTTACTGGGCAAATCTGTGCATGATTAGAGAGCAGGTATTGAGATACTCCGGGGTCCTGACAAGTTGCGGTGAGTCTTGCTGTGGTGATGAAAGCTGCCTGCTCCCTGCTTCTGCCCCTGTGCCAGAAGTAACTTGTCTTAGTAGCAGAGGTAGAAAAAGAGAACGTGCTTCAGGCCAATTTTCTGTGAGAGCTAATCCGTTGTGCTTCTGACCGCAGCGGGGACATTTCTCCATGAAAGCTGCTGTCAAGGCTGCTCTGAGCCATACTCTATGCACATGGGGGAATCTTGGATAGAGATGTTCACTGGTGCAGAGCGTTGGCTCCAGTCAGTAGACAGCGTGCAGCGTGACGGAGGGAGTGAAGTCCGCTGGGAGCTTTGTAAAGCTGCTCTTTCGGCTCCAGATCAAAAATTTTGGTTATGTGTTTTATGTTTCAGGGGTGAGGTACCTGGCATCTAAAGGCAAAACATAGTAAGGCAAGAGCTTTGTCTTTTGCTACTGGAAAACAATTTTTTCTTTGCTCGTATTGCAACAATGAACTTCTTAAAGCTGGTTGGATTTCTTTTTATGCTCGAAACCAAAAAGGGCATTTATGACTGCGTACAGCTAGGCAAAGGTGAGAGTCTTTCAAAGCTGCTAAATGATCCCAGGAACTCAGGTCCTCCCTACTACACATGCCAAAGCCTGAGGAATATAGGCTGAAGTTCAGGATATTGGAAGGTGCTATCTGCCAAATACTTACCAATGTTATGTTTTATAGTGCTTCCGTAACACAGAAGTTAGGTCTTTTCCACTGAGGGTAAGCATTAAAGGTCAGCCTTAGGGGGAAGGGGAGAGATCTCTAAAAAGCTGGAATGAAAGTTTTGTGCTTAAAGATGTTTATGTGCCAAAGGAAAAAAAATGCTCACCAAATTTGTTTTTTAAACAGGAAATCTGCCAGTTTTTACCACAGTTAAGCAGCAAGATGGATTAAAACCAACGCCAGTAGCTTGCAGTGTAGAGACAGGCTGAAAGCGTGTCCTTGCTCTGGGAAGCAGGCCTCAGTATTTCATACCATTGCATCAGTCTGAGCTCGGCAGTCAGCTGTGGGAGGACTGGACTTTGTGTTCTCTGTGTGCAAAGAAAGCTCGAGGAGGATTCAGGGGTCTTGTTATTGACGGAAAAGAAAGGAGATTAGCAAAAAGGTTTCCTTTGTTCTTGCTGTAGCCACTTCTCGGAGGGACAAACAACTTCTCAGGACCTGTTTATATAGGAAAATTGTGCTTGTTGCTGCCAGAAAGATTCTTCATCTGGACACTTGTTCTGAAATACTTGTAGCTTTTTTCATTCTAGCCTGGGTTCATTTTCTCCTTGATACTGTTTGTCTGAGCATTGCATGAGGATTACTTGGGGCAGACTCCTGGTATAGTTTCGCACTGCTTTGCTCTAAAGGGTCATGGCATGACCATGAAACAGGAAGACAGACTGTTCCAGGGACCACCAATACAGCTTTTTTTTTTTTTTCTGTAAAGTCACACCTGGCAGTGGTCAAGTTGACAACTTGGTTTTAGTGGCAGACTCTCAATTCCAAGTCCTTGTTTCCAAAGCCTGTGGGGTTCCTGACTTGATTGTGCAGCATGAGAATTCCCTCGCCAGTTGGAGGGCTGGGAAGAGGGGAAGGGAACAGTGTTACGTGGGCTCACGGTCGTCTTTTCCACTTCTGGAATCCGGGCTCTCCCGTGCTTTCACTGCAAGTGGTCCAGTACCGTGGCTTGCTGCCAGGTGCAGCCCTGTACGTGAGGATGCAGGCAAACCCAGCTGCCTTGACTTGACCATTCCCCGTCTAAAATAACCCTCTCATTTCGTCAGGGTGCTGGCTACTGGTGGGAGATATATCTGACTGCAGCCCTTTGCTGTTTGTTGTCCAGGTGGCAGGGGCACGGCTAGCGCTGACCCAGGCGGGGATAGGCCTGAGGCTGAGGAGAACAAGGAGGGATTCCTTTCCAAACTTAAGAAAATGTTTAGCTCCTGACACCCCATCCGAGGTAGGAGGCCTCTTGTGTTGTATTGTCCTCTTTCCCCCACACTAAGCAGAATTTGCACTTCTTGGGAGGTAGAAGCAGCAAAAGCACGGCATTGCTTCTCACTTAGCCTCAGGCCTTCCAGCCACTGGTGTGAAAAGCCCTAGCTGTCCCCTGTGACCTGCAGCAAAAAGCCAGGGACTAAATTGCATTGTTGCTGCAGCAAAAAGCAGCAAAAATGCTGGGTACATCTTCAGGGAGGTTGCTGGCCTCCCCTGCAGCTCTGCTTCCTTGGCTGCGACCGATTCAAAGCACCGAGGGTGTTCCGGTTAGCTGGTAAAGCTGGGACCAGACAGTTCTGCTGCCACTGCAAAGCCCGGGCTTGCAAGGAGGCACAGGTGGGCCTGCAGAGCCTCTGGTGCTGGTATGCTCAGGCTGGACTCGCCCCTGCCACGGGCTTACAGCACCAGGAAGGACTCAGTCTTTGTCGTAAAGCACAGCAAAGCCCCCGCCACGCACATGAGTACAGCATTATAACTCAGGGTGCCATTTAGTTGGTGTTGGCCTTCTGCGAGGGAGCGCTCCAGACTTGAAATCATCTATGGCAGACACCGGTGTCTTGGATTGCAGGGGCTCGGCTTCCTGTCACCGCAGGCTTCAAACTTGTCTGTTCTGCGTGGCTGACGAAGCGTGACGGTGGGTCAGGCGGGGAGGTGCTCTCGCAAAGCAGGCTGCAGGGGCTGCTGCGCGCCTTAGGCCGATTCGGTCGGGAAACGCTAAACTTTTCTCTTGCTTCAACCGCAGGGAAGCGTTCTACTGGAAACTAAGAGCCAGCCGCAGTTGATCATCTTTGCAGTCGGGGATGAATCTTTCTGGCAGCGGGCTCTGGAGAGTGAAGGATGTCAGTCAGCAGCACGGTGAGAATCCCAGCTGGAGAGGCTACAAACCACTGAGGCACCAACAATCATCATGATACAAAACCCACCCACCGTCCTAGGAAATGGTAATGAAGGAAAATGCCAGCTTGGCAGAAATGCGGCGCTCTCTCGAGGTTGCTCCACAGTCCCTACTGCTGCTGGAAGCTTATTTGATAAAAATTAAAGTTGAAATATTATTTAGAATCCAAAACAGTGGAAATACGAAATAAAAATTGTCCTTCCAGCACAGAGTGGAGCAGTTTGCTGTATGGAGTCCAAGATGGCTGCTGCTTGCTTAGGTGCCCTTCTAGGTGTGCTTGGTGAACTTGTCACCGCTGATTTTCTCCCAGGAGACTTGGTGAGTCAGTGAGTTTTAACTCCGTCTTCACGACAGCCCTCCTAGCTGTCCCGCACATCTCTCTGAGTGGGAATTCTCCCTGTGGCCGGGAGTCGTCAGAGTCCAGCTGCCCTGGCTCCCTCAGCAGCCCTGGGGTTTCTTAGTCCTGCTGATTTCCTGCACAAAGAGCAGTGATGGAATCTGCACTTTGCCTCAGGTTTCCCTCCCCCCCGATAAGTAAAGTTACAACACAAACGCTGTTGCTTCTGAATGGGTACAAGTTTATCACCAAGCCCTTTGCCAGTTTGGGACAAAGTCTTTTATTACGTTAGTGCGACACCCGTAGCATAAATGATTGGTCAAAGAGTCATCGTTGTCTACATGTGTGAGAGTACAAGTGAAGTGGATCACTCCTTCCAGGTGGCGTTGAGCTCTTGCAGTGAGTATTTTCATGGTTACTGTAGCCCGCTGTTGTTAGTTATACCATGCAGGTACCATCAGCCCACATACTAATCGACCAGTTAAACAAGGATATGTTGTAGTCTTGCCCTTCTTAATTTGCTGAAATAAAGCACGCGTTGCCTCCTGATTAAACTGTCTGTAAAGTGATTCTGTATCCATGTAAATAAGATTGACTTCATAAAGATATTTAACACATGCTGTGCCTTGCTGCCTTGTCTGCTCTTCCAACCTTGCCTGTGACCCCCTCTCCCTCCCCCAGTGACAGGAATTAAGGTCTCTCGGACAAGGAGAGGATAGGGCCAGAAGGCTCGAGCATTTCTCTGGTGGCTGCGACTGACTTTAAGCACATGTACAAAGAGTGCCATGCCCCAGAGCTCTTAGCCAAGCAGTACCTTAAGGTACAGTGGTGTGAGCCAGTGGGGGAAGGAGCTTTTTAAGCGAGTCTTAAGTACTAAGGTTGGACAGTCTTGTAAAGGTTTTACTCAACTCACAAGGGTAGTGATTGAAATTAGCTCTGGGAGCCCAAAGGCCAGGCCCCAGCTGAGAGCTGTCTGACTTCAGGAATTAGGTTCAGCTTTCAGGTTACACAGCGCAGTCCCCGTTGCCAGGGTCCGTCTCTCCAGGCGTGCTGCTCTGCCCGCTGGCTTACCTGCGGCGCCTGAACCCGGTCCATGGGGAAACTCCGGTGTTTGCCGTTTGCTCAGAAGCCTGCGCCAGTGCTGGCTGTGGGTACCTGCAGAGAAGGCACTGCCCTGCGAGGCCTGCCCACCGAGAGGGGGGCAGGCTCAGAGCTGCCTAGGAAAGAGGGTGATCCTGGGAAGACAGGATCCAGCCACCCTACAGACGTGAGAACACCCAGAATCACTGAACACCTCCCTGAAGATAGCGTGCAAAGGTAGCGCTTCTCCCAGCTGTCTGCCTGCAGCTGTACAGCTCTTGCTCTAGCTGCACTAGTCTACACAGTCTCAACCAAGTCTCAGGAGAGCCTCAGAGCACATGCACGGACCAACGCTCTCCCCAGCTCTGGCTGGGTCAGCCTTTTACCAGGGCGCTAGTGGAAAGGCAGCGTGGCTCAGCGCAGCTCACCTCGGCCAGTTCCCGCTACCTGCTGCAGAAGCTCGGGTGGAAGAGGAGGGAGGGAAGGGTCCGAAGGTGACCTTCTTGTCTGCCACCAAGAAGGATGGAAGGTGCAGGCTTTGGGGCTGAGCTTCATGGTCAGGTCCACGTTGCGGTCTGGCTTCAGGGCATAGAAACAGAACATAGTGTCCATTTCCTCGGTGCCAGGGGAGCCACGTTTCTCATACTCCTCTGGTGAGATCTGCAAAAAGAATTGGGGGAAAAAGAAACGGTGTTGTTGCAGAGCAGAGGCTGCTGGGGCCTTTCCCTTAGACCATGCGGGAAAGCCGAAGAGGGCTGCATTAGAGCAGCCTGCCATGTTATTTCCACTGGCGAGGAGGGCTTTGCAAGTCATTTTGATTGGGTTTGAGTAAAGGAAGCAGCAGCCCTGCAGCATGAGGGCAAGGAGGAGGAAAGCCTTCGCCAGAGCATGCTGGTGGGAGGTGGGATGAAGCAGACCACTGTCTCTTGCATGGTGCTGACCCTGGAGTTCACCCCAGTCCCCCCTTCCTCCACATGCAGCGTGAGGAAGGGTGGTGGTGGGGAAATCATGCTGCACAGACGCTCAGGAGTTTGTTCTGGAGGTGCCAATGCGTGCTCCAGCCACACGCAGGGACAGCGGGACTAATGCTGGACACCAGCACAAGGTTGTACCAAACCCGTACACCGAGCTACGAGGAGCCTCCACCCCGGCAGCGCCTGACCTTGCCACTGGGGTGGGACAGCACTCGTTTTGCCAATGCTGTCCGTGCTCAGCTCCCGTACAGAGCCCCCCACTACTCTAGACCAACAGGAGAGGCCGGGCATGCTGCTCCTCCCGTCGCGCGCCCACCAGCAGCCCGGCCCGGCCCGGGCAGGGACCTGCAGAGCGCCTAGCTGCTGGGAAGGCACCAGGATCATCCCACCACCGCCTCAAGGCGGGCCGCGGGGCCCTGAGTCAGCTTCCCCCCACCTCAAGAACATCACATCCGCCAAGGGACGCTTCCTACTTTGCTGGCTTCCATGGTCTTGGCCGTCTGCTGGGAGAGGACAGCGGCGTACTCTGCCTCGGTGAGCTTGCCAGTGCTGAGCCCGATCACTTGGTCTACGTACTCCTCCAGGGACTTCAGCAGGCAAAGCACAACAGGCCCGATGTCCTCCACCGCCATCCCATCCACGGGGGTGTCCCCCATGGGCAGCGCTGTACAGGAGAGATTGATCCTGGTCAGAGTGCAGCCCAGCTCCGAGGAGGTACAGCTGGAGTTTTCGGCACCCAGCCTCGAAACACGAGGTGTGGAAGAGCCGAGAGCACCGCATCGGCGTGGCAAGCCACGGGAGCACCTGCAGGGCTGAGCTAAGACACCGTGAGTGGCCAGAGCAGCACCATGACTCGCCTGGATCTGCAGCCCCACCTCTGACCTCCGGCATCCCAACTGCAGGGAGTTGGGGTGTCCAGAGACACTCTGGGATCTGCAGAGCAGCCCTCCGCACCAGAAACAGGACTCGGATCTCACACATTTCTTGCAGGCCACTGAACAGGTCTGAAGGACCATAATGCAGCTGCAACTTGCTGTGGTCAAGCTGCCACAAGCCTCTTTTCCACATCAGTCTGCAGCCCTGGAGGTTTCACCACCCCTCATCTGCACAGCGGGAGCAGATAACTACAGGACAGTGACCTGGAGAGCGAGAGGTCCTGTCTTACCCAGGACAAACATATCTCCCTGCAGGCCCTTCTGTGGCTTGAAGATGGCAAGTAGAACGGCAGTCAGACGGTCACGGTGGGAACACCACCTTTCTGGAAGTACTCTTCCACCACACCTTTGCCATCAAAGTGGAGCACCTCCAGCCGGCCCCCCGTCAGCTACTTCACGTTCTCCAGGCCGCTGTACACGACGTGGCGCAGAGCAAGGCGCTTCGACAGGTCAGCAAGCCGCTTTCCCTGGGTGAAGGGTGAAGCCAGCCATGAAAAGGGGAATGGTTCCCTTGGGACACACAGGGGCTCTCATCATCCCCCCACACACCCTCCTTTCCCCTTCGTTGCACTGGGCAGGAGGGCAGGATCCAACACACGCCAGCTGAGCAAGCTCCTCAGCATCTAGCACCCCGAGCCCTCAGCTGGAACCAGGGCTGAGCAGACCCAGTGAGCCCTGTGAGTTGCCCAGGTGGAGCCAAGTCCTCTCCTTACAGTAGAAAAACCACACACCCTCCAGCTCTGGTGCTAGCTTCTCCACCAAGAACACAAACACCAGCCCTAAAGATCTGCCGGGGCCAACATACCTGCCCTAACATATCTTTTCTTTTGTTTGCTGCCACCCAGGCATGGCAATCGTGCCACCTTGCAAAATCTGTCCAGGGAGTGAACACCATCCTTGGGGAAGGCCCTGGGATTTCTGATACCACAGCACATTTTGGCCCCAAAGCTGTAAGTGCAGAGAAGTTAAGGACTGCAGGCAGCAACAGTCCTGGCTCAGACCCGGGTAGGGTCTGCGGAGCCAAGTCTTCCCACTCCTGCTACTCTAACTCCCAGGCAGTGCTCTCCACCACGCCAAGTCTTGAGGCCTTTAACCGCTCCCTGAAGGCACCAGATCCTGGAGCCATCTGACTGTGAGGGAACAAGTTCTGGCTTTGCAAGAACCATGACCTGGTTTGTTTGCGAGGCCTTGGGACTTTTCTGGACCGGCCACTTGAACTGTCAGGGCTGGCAAGGCTGCCCTAAGAGGTGTCCCATGACCCCCACTCCAATGCCACATGGCTGTCCCTCGATCACCCCCTCCCAAGCCATTCTGCACATGGTCCCAGCCAAAGCAAGCACCGGTACCTGCGTGATTTCTTTCTCTTTGCTGCAGTGCTCCCAGCAGTTGGTTACAACAAAGGCTCCGTAAGCACCCACCAAGGCCAGCTCCAGTGATGTCACATCGTCCTGATCTGCCTTGATGACCTCAGCTCCCCTCTGCTTCAGCTCCTCAGCCTCCTCCTTCATGGGACTCCAGTCACCGCACGGACCCTGAAGGTCCCACCTTCTAGCAGAGCCTGGGCCACGCAGCCCCCCCGAGCCCCTGTAGGTGCAAACCTGTTCAGAAGCCCCGGCTTCGCACAGGGCTCTGCTCCTAAAGGGAGCTGGGATGAGCTGGAACTGTGAGATGGAGCTGTGCGACCCCACGCTTTCTCTGTGACACAGGGACCA